CCGAGTATCGGATCCTACCTTCTTGCAGGTGAGTTCATATTTATGGAATCTGAACGTCTAAGGATGAGCATGATTCTTCGAAACGAGCTTCGATTGGAGGATGGGGGTTGCACCTTGTATCCAACTTTCTCCATGGGCATTTTTCTTAGGAGGGTGTCGATCGGATTGTCTTGCTTTGGGGGTGAAGGGGGAGTTGTACTCTTCTAATATATGATCGTTGGTGAGCTCCAACAACTTTGCTAGCATTTTTCAGGTGTTGTAATCTCAACGCATAGTGAAATTCTCCCTATTTTAGCTCTTGGGCGAGGGTTGCGTGAGCGACTGTAGGCTCCAGATCTCGAACTACTAGCATTTCTATTTTGAAGCTGGTAATGAAGGAACGTAAATACTTGTTGCCATTAACGTAATTGTAGGAGGGCCTGTGAGCCCTTGTGTGGTTTCTGCGCACTAACAAATTGTGCAATGAACAATTTTTGATGTTCGTGAATGACGTGTTCACTTCTAATGGTAAACCGTTGAATCATTGGAGAGTTGACTCCCAAAAGGTTATGAAGAGCAGCCACACTTCATTGCATCTTTTATCTTGAGCAAGCAGACAGCCGAATCAAAGGAAGCGATATGATCGGCTAGATCTTATCATCATCGGTAAGATTTCAACATCTGGATCTTGAAACACTCGGGGGGTTCGACCTTAAAAATCTACCTGGAAAAGTTTTTTTCTAGCTGCCCAGGTCATGGTGCTTCGGTGTGCTCGTATTGATGATGATCGAGCGGCACTGAACCTACGTTCTCTGGGCAGTGAGTGTCTTGTTCTTCCAATATTGGAGGAGCTCTTCTGGTGTTTAGCGCAGCCACTCTTCACGGATGATGTTTGCGGTGGTGAGATCCTCTGTCGAGCTAGTGCACCTTTGGTGGCTTCCATTACTTGTTCTTTAAGCTCATTAACCTATATTAGAAATTCTCTAGTGCAGATCATGTTGTTTACATTTTCTGGATGTTGGAGCTATTCTTCTTGAGTTAATTTTCTTGTTTGTGCATCATCCACACTCACTGCACATTTTAGGGTGCTGAACCCATATTTGCCCGTGAATCATACCGAAGGAATAGACTGCAAATATATATATATGCCATTGCAAGGTATGATACCTGATGCATACACACTTAAGAATGCATGCATTTGATGATATTTTCACTATCAATGAAAACTTCATTCTCGAAAAGAAACTCCTCTAGAGTTGAAAGTTTAAAATCATGTGTTCTTTGTGGTCATTTGGATAGATGTTTGTTGCACATGAATATTTAGGCCTTGGGATCAATTTATTGAATATATATATATATATATATGAAAAGCCCAAGGGCTGATTTTATTGAAATAGAAAATGATACATAAAGGTTGTATGAGAAGAGCCCAAAAGAGGCACCTTACCATACAATATAAGTACAGTAATACCCCAACAAAAGGATACATATAGACTCAATAAAATGTAAAACAAATTTAAAACATGCAGAAAACAAGTAGTTAGGGACGAGCTAGTTTAGTCCTGCCTCTTCCTCTAGTTTTAGGAGCAGAACCAGATAACAAACTTTGAAGAGTTGTGTCATTGTCAGGAGTCACCAAATTATCATCCATTAAGTTTCCAAGTTAGAGTGAGCCCCCAGCCTTCTTCCGCCGAGAAGTGTAAACCTGTCATTTTTCATCTGAAGACTGGCTCATGTGATCCTCGATCTGATTTGATGTTAGCACCGCAGTAGGAGGAAAGCAGTCCTTGCCACCGCGATAGGTTCCAGTGTATGTGAAGTGTGAATTGTTACATTTGTATCTGATGTTTCTTGAATAGGAGTTGCGGGACTATCCTGATTTTCAATTCGAACATTATTCGTTGTTGTATGGTTAGGAGAAGGGATCTCAGGGGCAAAGACCAACTCCTGATTCGAACATTATTCATTGTTGTATGGTCAGGAGAAGGGATCTCAGGGGCAAAGACCAACTCCTGTTTTGTGGTGATTCCCTCCTCAGATTGGCTGTCATCAAGTTTGTTGGGGACGTGTTCAGGCACATGGGGTGCACTAATAGTTTTTTCCTGCTTTTAACTATTGATTCTCAACTGTGGGTGCAATATGAAACATTTCTCCTGTGGGTGTCCAAACATCTTACAGTGCTTGCAGTAGTATGGTTTTTGTTCCATAATGATTTTTTGCCAATACCATTGTGAGCAGATCCAAGCCAAACTTCTTCTACATCTGGTAGTGTAATATCTCGTTCAATCAAAATTCTTGCAATAGAAGGTCTTGAGAAATGAACTGTAGGTAAGTCTACCTGCAAAAGTTTTCCAATGATAGTCCCAATTGCATATAAGATAGATAGGTCAAAGAAATGAAGCTTGAGTTCATGTAATGAGAACCAGATAGGTGGAATTGGGGGTCCATTTGAGCAATTTCATATGTTTGCCCTCATTTGTGATGAATTTCTTTGAGAAAATCCTCGTGTAATTATCTTCTATGCTCAGCTGTATGTATCATAACATGCCTTCGGTCGAAATGACCCACCTGTCAATCCTCAACCAGTTTGAAATCTTCAAAAATCTTCCTGATGATCTCCATCTTAGGGCAACCTAATTGGAACTTTCCAACTAGTGAAAATTTGTATTTACACTACACGAGTTGAAATTTCAGCGTCAAAAAGGAAAATTGCTGGTTTGCTTGTCTTTTTCTCTACTTTTTTGATGAGGTTGCAATCGTCATTTCCTGTAACAGAATAATGGTGAATCTTCGAGAATACTGACTAAAATCTTCGAGAATACTGGCTATCTACGAGGTGAAAAGGGGAGTTGCGTTTGTGAACCACTGGAATCTTCGAGAATACTGACTATCTGCGAGGTGAAAAGGGGAGTTGCGTTTGTGAACCACTGTAGCATAGGAGGGTTTGGCGGGGTTATCACCGGCGAGGGTGGCGGTGTAGGAAAGCCCCGAGGCCATTACCGCAGCCAGTGCCGACCTGCAACAGTGAGAAGCTGCACGAGTGTCGAAAGGCTCTGTCGCAGACGGCAGAGGCAGAGCCGAGCAGACCGGGTGGCTCTGTCGCAGAGGAGACGGCTGGGTGTCGAGCGGTCGAGCAGCTCTGTGGCAGACGAGACGCAACAAGGTCGAGCGGCTCAGTCAGCAGACGAGACGCAGGCTCGAGCGGCTCTGTCGCAAACGCGGGCACGAAAGTTGCATACGCAAGCACGACAGCAGCACCCGCCAGACGAGACGCGAAACTCGAGACGACTCGAGAAGAAGAAGACGACGTGAGAGGAAGCCCGAAGCTGAATGACGCTAGGGTTCGCCATGGGGCGGAACCCTAGCAGAGCAGAACGGCGACATGTTTGTAAATTATATATGACTGCAAATATATATATACATATATTAGAAAGAACAGCTCATGGTTCTTTACGCGTTAATATCAAAAGAAGGATCACAAAGGTTTAGTGGGAAAACTGGATCCCCCCTAAAAAAAACAACACATAAAGTCCTAGGGGTTCCATTTTCCACATTACAACTTCACCCAAGAAAATAAAAGATCAGTAAGGAGATTAAAGCTAACCTAAATATACATATATCAAACCAAAACGTATACCCACAGAAATGACGTATACCCTCTATGAACATGTATATCAAAAGAAACGAAAAAACAAGAATTTGTATGGCAAACAACAACATCTTGAAACCAGGAAGCCGCAGCCTGACTAAGGAATCCGCATCGTGCAACTCAAAAAGAACTAAGGAAACAGTAGAGAAATAGAAATTCCAAGTGTTAAGAAAGGAAAAGATGATCCTCATTCCTTCAACCTCCCAATCAGCAATGCCAGTCCAAACGGACCTAATAAAACCTCCTGAAGTATGGAGAGACAGAGAGAAATTGGAGCCATGGGTCTCCAAATAAGAAATAACATGGTCACAAATAATACCCAGATGAAAAAAGAGCAACTCTTCAAGCCTCCAAACCACCACCACCACCAAAGTAGCAAAGAAGCCCTGGGCCTCCATGCTAAAAATAAGGCAGCCAATATGATACATCCCAAAAGCAAAACCACCCAGCATAACCTCCGGGCCCTTAAACCGAGAAACCCTCCATCTCCATAAATTCAACCACCAACAAATAGGGAGCCGTGGGCCTCTCAAATAAATCTCAGCAGAAAAATCGAAGGATTCTTGGACCTCCATGCCAAAGATAAGAGGTCGGACATCACATAAATCAAAAATATAAGTAGCCATAATCTCATACTCCCTCAACTCCAAATTTCCCAAAAAAGAATAAACGCAAGAAACTTCCAGCCAGAATATATATCTATATATATATATATGTATATATATCTATAGAGAGAGAGAGAGAGAGAGAGAGAAAGAGTAAAAGATGTGAGGAATCATGTATTTTCGTATATGGTTCCAACAAACTCCTTTAAGTTTAATACTCCTTTATTTATATAAAAGACCAAGGATAATGTCAAATGATAGTTACATTCCTATTATTTTTTAATCGGTTGACCCATTAATGATCGTTTCTTGCGGCGTAGTCACAAATTATTCGATGGTTCATCCTTTTGTCGGCTGATTTTTTTTTTTTTTTGAGCGATCTCTGAGTTGATTAACTTATAACTCGGCCGGCCTCTGGATCATAATTTTCTCGTTCGACTACTCGGACGTTATCCGATATTTTATTTTATCCACCTTTTGGCTCGGTCGCCCGCTTGATATTTGAGCTCTAATTTGTTTGTTTTCTGGTTTGGTTGAGCTCTGGTTGATTGCCCGAGTGGAATCTATCCTTGGGATATCCTTACTCATTTTGATTGGCGACACGTTTGCTGTTCGATATTGTTCGATCCGCAGGGAATCCGGTCACTGGCGTTTTGATTATACAATTAGCTATTATGAATATTACATAACAGTCTTTGGTTAATCATCACTTAAAAGTTTTGTTTCTGACTGAGGCTGACTTTTTTTTTCTTTTTGTTCTTTTATAGGAGAAATTTTTTGATGGTTATCCATCGATTGGTGTGTTATCTGAAAAAATGAAGAAATTGCTCGGTATAAAGGGCAGTCCAGCTCTAAGGAATCCACCATGGATATGGTGCTGCTTAATGTCATATTACCTTGATGAAAAAGATCCATGGGGAAGTAGAAGATACAGAATTTTTGGAACTACGTTAATAGGATGAAGACTGTCTTCAATCCAATGTTAATGTTACCAGCCTTCTGTTGCTCAGCAGAGGGCTTTTATGTTGCAACTTTTGTTGATTTCTAAAACTAGTGTATGGAGATAAGAGTAAGTTCTTATAATAATAATAATTATTGTGATATATATATATATA